TGGAGGAAAAGAGAGAGGGTTGTGTTTTCTGACACTTGGTGAGTTCTCTGACACACCGGGGACACATATTCATGTATAAAACAAGGTACAAAAGTGCATTTTGCATGATAGGTCCCCTTTAAAGCGGACAAAAGGCACTGGAGAACACTTATTCATTAACATCCTTTAATGAAGCAAACTAATGCCTTAACTTACTCAAATACAGTCGTTTACTTATTTCGGTGAAACGAATGTGCGTAGAGTTTTAAAGGATGCGGATAGTCTCAAATTGATTCTGGCGCATTGCTTATCGTTTTATAGATCTATTCTCATTCACCATCTTTGTTTGTGACGTGTAGAGTGTAAGATTCACGTTTCTGAAACGGACACTCTGAGTGGATGCAGTCACAGCCAATCGGATTCTGAGGGTTGCCTGTCAGTTCCGTTGCCTGTCAGTTCCGTTGCTATGGTTCCGTTATGTGTACTGAAACGAGAGCCGGTATAATTCCACGCGCGAAAACAAAATAAAAATTGGAATACGTTATTTTAGTGTCTTAAAAGTAGACTGAGGTATGAAGGGTTAACGTTACATCTTTGGATCATTTTTAATCATGTTCTGTATACATACTAACATATAAGGGTATACTTAGTGTGGTTACTCCATGTTTACTAGCTATAACATTAACGTTACATCACTCTTTTTCGCTTCTTACTCAGTCAGCCAGACTGCAGATATCACCATTAGATTCACAAACCTGAAACATCATCCATTTCTTCACTGCTGGTGATGTCATTGTTGTTAGCTGCTGATACTGCTGCTGCTGCAGCAGCTTGTGGCGCCTGCTTCGATGAAAATGACTCTCTAATATCCATAACTGTATAGGCTATTTACTTAAAACTTGTCAGGCACTAGGAAGGATCAATTCTTCTTCAGGGCAGGGAAGGCTATGCCTTTTTTTTTTTTTAAGTGAAACATCCGGGGCTTTTCAGAAAACATCCGGGGCTTGAGCCCTAGCGCCGCCACTGATACTAACGACACCTTCTTGCTTTCTGTTCACAGATATTCAGAAGAGCTGACAAAGATGGTGAGTGACTTCATTAATTGTCTTTATTAAATACAAATTTTTATACCTTGAACATTATCCATTACAGTTCTTTCTGGAATTTACTGTATAATGATATATATATATTGATAGATGGATAATGTATTCTTATAGACACTGTATTTTCAGGTTATAGATGACTTGCTTTATTAAAATTATTAAATTATTTAAAAGAAAACCGATCTAGAATGAAAAGACTTACTAAAAAATCAATAGATATTCTTTGTATACCATTGATTCCTAAGCCTTTTACCATGATTTTAATTGTAACAGATAAATACTAAAAACTAAACATAAACATTTTCTTATTAGAATTTATTTATGTAATTTTCGGACTTGCTAGAAGGACAGAAAAGCCTTGAATATATGTATTTGTATTATATGTCTGTCGTCTATTCTGATGGAAATTAAAATGCAAAATGACATTTCCAAAAATGTTTTGGAGCTTTCATATTGGTGCAATTTAAAAAATCCAGGCACATTCTGTCAGTAATAAGATTTGTAATGGCGGCATTCCAGTTTGGAATTGTGCGTATACTTGCTCACCATTATGAATGGAGTTGTGATTTTTCACAATGTTCACTTCTGCTTTCATACAGTTTGCATCTGTAGTTTTGCATCCAGGGGCAAAAATGTACCAAAGGCGAATCTAACAAACAAACCTGTTCCTGAACTATCTTGGCCTCTTTGGGAAAGTTTTCAGACCGATGATAGTCAGAGATGCGTTTCCTCTGCTTTGTGCAGTGGAACACTCTTCAGCATGAAGCTTTGCAGTCTGAGCTGCTGCGGCAGTGTGCTGTATTTTAGCATGTTGGGACATTAAAAGTGTTTTCAGAAGGGGAAAGTTTATATTGCTGTGTAGCTTTGCCAGTGAGCGGTTTGTTTATACCCTCTGGCATCTATGTGCTGATACTCTCTCTCTCTATTTATCTCTTCATCTTCCTCTCTCTTCTTCGCTTACATCTCCTCCTCTATCTATCTTTCCTATTTCTTATCCTTCCCCTTCTCTCCTCTTTTATCCCATCACTCTGCCGTTGACTAAAAGGATTTAACTAATGAGGAAACAGCATAAAAAAGATGCGCTTTCATAGCAGCCAGATGGCCATTTGCTCTTGGTGTGTTTGTGTGTGTGTGTGTGTGTGTGTGTGTGTGTGTGTGTGTGTGTGTGTGTGTGTGTGTGTGTGTGTGTTTTCATCTACCCAAACTGATTACTTTTGGTCTCAGCAAAGCTATCGCCCCAAAATGAATAGTTGTAGAGAAGATGTCTCTTCACGTTATTACGGCAGTTTAACTTGCATTTATTTAACATTTCTCTTCAAACATTTCTTTTAAACACTGGTTTTGTTAGAATTGGATGTTTTATTGAACTGGAAAACTGATTTAAAAAGTCATATTGCTAATTTTGATAAACAATATGTATATACAGTATATCGTCTATATATAAGTAAACTAAAACAAATATTATATATTTAAATGTTTATTTAAAAAATGATAACGTTGGGCTCCAAAACTTTATGAAAACTACCAAACATGACAATTCTAAATGTAAATGTATATTAAAATAACATATATATTTAATATTTGTTTTAGTACACTTCGAGCTACTGAAAACTATGATTAACATTTTAGTTAACTTCATTCCACATATTGCAGTCAATATCTCAACCAAAATGGGCAAAGGTGCTACGCTTTCACATATAGAAAAGGCGAGGTGCGCTGGTTTATAACATGCAAAATAAAATGAAGCGCAGTAATCTCCATTATCTTGTTCTCAATCATTGAAATCCAAAATCGTAAATGAAAAAACGAATTGATTCATCACCCAGCTCTTGTTAGTAAAGTCGCCGCGTGTGTGCGTGTGCGTGTGTGTTTGAGTGTGTGCAAATGTATGGGAAAAAATATATTTGTCAAATCAAGTAGAAGACTAGCAAACATACTGTAAACAATTTTTCCAGATGATTTAACTTTGACATCATTGCTGCATTGCATTTGTATCTTGCCTGGAGGTTGTTGCATCAGCTGTCAACATTTTAAATGATTGCACTTCCTAATTACCAAGAGCTCAGAAAAGGAAAGGTAGCGTCAACAACATTTACCTTTCATGCCGATCTTATCCCATACAGAGAATATAGCTCTCTTCTTTTCACAACGAAGCTGTGTAACTTTGCGATGACGGTCTCTCCATTTCTGCTCAAAACAGAGTCTTCATAGAGGAAGATATAAGTGTGGATGGGTGAGGAGCATCACAGCAGGAGAAAGGAGAGACTGAGACTTAGTAACAGAGATTGAAGAAGGAACGACAGATATCATGAAGAAACGTAGCCATTTGATGTATAGAACGCACGCTGCAGAGAAAGAGCCAGCGAACAGAAGCTGGAGAAGAGCTATTTTTATCCTCCTCCTCTCTCCTGGGAGAAGACCGGAGAACTGTTTTAATGAGCGAGAGAAGGGAAAATGGGGATGCTGAGGGGGAGAAGAGAGAATTGTTAAAAGAGAAGGTGCGGCGAGGGGGATATTGACAGAAAGAGAGGTGGGAGGTGGCAGAGTCTAAAAGGGGGAGAGGGTTAACCGAGAGAAAGACAAAGTGAGGAATAACGAAGAGTGTCGTATATCTGACAGCGGGGCAGTAAATGATATTTAATTGGTCGAGTTCTGTCTTAACATTCATGGCACATATTTCAGGGAAGACCTTCCTGCCCCCAAGCTGCTGAAACAGCAAGCCAGAAAGAGTGTGAACATTAGTGTGTGAGCACATCTACTTCAAATACAAATTGCAGGCATCGCAGAGAATTTTCTGTGTGCTATAAGTGTATGAGTATGCCTGTTTGAATGTGTGTATGTGCGCTTCTGTGCGTGTTGTTTGCGATTATCACGCCTGACTCAAAGACATTGTTTTTCAGCAATCACCAATCATTCTATGAAATAGTTGCATCCTTTGACAGCACTTGGTTTACTGTTTGCACTTGCAGCAGCACCTCTAAAACGACACAGTTCACTGAGCCGCTGCCGTTTGATACTTAATCCTTGCAAGTCAAATGGAAATGTTATGAAATAGTAACTTGGGTTATTATTCTATTTGCATGTTTTTTATGTCACTGCTGACTAAATGAAATGAAGGTGTACTTGCATTTTAATTGTACTTCTAAAATGAAAAACGCTTTTTATCCTGACTCCTGGGCTGCAAAACGTAATTGTTTTTTCCTCCAATTACTTTTGTTCCCCATTTATCTACTTTGGTCGTGAAAAATGTAATGCATAAACAAGTTTTAACGACATTTATCCCACCTACTGTATATATCTTCTGACTTGTATGTAATACCCACTACTCAGTGTACACTGAGAGTTTCTGCCTGTTTTACAGCTGTAATGTTGTATTGTCACTGCAGGAAAAAACTGTGTTACTAATAACATTGATGATGGCTCTGTTTTATTTAATCTGCCAAGTAAGACTGTCAACCAGCAGGCAAAACAACCTCTGTTGAACTTGTGTATAATGATGCAGGGAATTATGCAAGGGCACCAAACTCTATGTATTGTGGAATTAGGTGTCAGATCATGCAATATGGAAGTATAGGTTAATACTAACGTAAATGCTAGGCTGAGTTCAATTTAGCTTCTTGATTTTAAGGTTCCTGGTGCTGTCCTCTTTTATAGTCGTCACGTTTAATGCCAAATGTAGCACATTTTTAATATAATTTACAGAAGCAGAACATTAAAACATGCTGATTGATCCACGTTGATACATCAATCAATTATTGATTATTTCAAATGTATAACCTGTATTGGCTTATATTTACTGTCCATCATTTTTGCGTGGAATTTCTTTTCTGTTTCCAATAATGTTGCGCCTTCAAAAATGTCCACATTGGAAAGTACCTCGTGGTGTCCGTGGCATGTAAAGCACGCTAATTTATACTAACTTTCCGAACCCTATTGGAAAGGATATAAGTCAAAAATCAACTGTCAGAGATAACTCACAATCAAATTGACTCCAGTGTCAAAAATTACGATGTACTGCTCACTATAGAGCAACATTACTACCATCTATTTGAAGTGGGGAGTGATTTTGTAAACCTCACACGAGAGGTTTAAATATGTAATAAATGTGGAAAAAGCTGTGTGGGTCAGCAATGGTTGTGTAAGGTTTTTAGTCTGTCTCAAGGGAAGTTGTAGGATATAGAAGTTTATAAAATACTCTGCTATGATTAATGATCTGTTAACCCAGGTTTAACTACCTGAAAAGACAAAAAAATATGTTGTGGACTAAAATCGGCAAATAGCAAACGTATCCCAATGCTAAGTTTAGTTTTTTTGTTAGATTGTTAGCTCATTAGCTCGTTAGCCAACACAGTATCACGGCATTTCGTGTTATGGTCACAAAATTAATCTTTTTTTCGTGTCACACAGAATGATTTTAAAAGCAATGTAAATAATAACAAATTCGAAGGAAAAAGAGAAAAAAAATAATTCAGATTTCAGTATTCTGACACAGAACAATTTTAGAACCAATGTATTTATATTGGTGGTATGTTTCGTCCTGCACCAAATAATAACAAATTATAAGGAAACTTTTTTTTTTTTAAATACAGATTTCAGTATTCTGAGGCTCTTTGCCCCATTTCTTTTCCTCGCGGACAGCAAAAAAACTCTGACATTATACTATTTCAAATAAAAGGATTAGGCTTAGGGTAAGATATTGATTAAGAAAATGTTTTTATGAACCACACAGCTTCCGGTCTTTCAAGACCCGACCGGACAAAAAGACGTGCTGCAGGCACGAAACATACTACCAATAGAAATATATTGCTTTTAAAATCGTTCTGTGTGACACGAAAAAAAGGGGAAAATCGTGTTGTTGAACATAAATCAATAGATTAAATTAATTTCGTGACTATAACACGAAATGCTGTGAGACTGTTGCGTTAGCTTGTACCTTGGAGTGGCTGTCACTGTTAGTCGTTGTGGAACATTTATTTATATCT